ATCTCCCTTTTGGTGGATCACGTCGAAGGATTCCTCGAATATCCCCAGTTGAGTTGTAAATACATCATCAGTCTAGCCTGGCTGTTCGTGTAAGAATTTGATGAGATGTACCAATAAACGTGTGTAAATTGAATCTATCAACAAGGGATTGCATTCATTCAACATTGAACAATGCACATCTCGCGTCCTCATCTCCCAGTAACACTTTTCATCCATCCATGAAGCACCCGAATAAATATAATTTCGTATGCATTGCACTGCTGCTAAAGATGAGAGAGTTGAAATGAATCAGAAGCAAACATTGGAGTAGCTTAGTTTAGTTTCCGCCATTCCCTCGTCGAATATAGATGTATGGCAATGGGCGAAAGTAAAAGTGGAAGCAGAAGGCACACAGAAGACCGAAGGAGAACAAGGCTAGAATTTTATTTTCCTTTATTAGAGGAGGAGAAGGACAGGAGAGAGAGAGCATACACATGCATGGAATCATATATAGGAGGAGGTAGGAATACGGAATATCGGAGACTGGAAGCGTACGAGAGAGCGAGTGCAATAAGTCTACAAACCGAATGAACCGAACTCGGTTTGTTGGACGGGGAGCGTTTATTGAGCTAAGCAAAGAGCAAATGAGTATTTTGAGAGCAAACACTTTCAAATATTTTATCAGAGACACCAAGACCAAACCAATTCAAGTTGCATTCTTCATATATACACGACGTCCCTTCCCTCCTGCCCTTCTCCATAGTTTGCTTTACGTGGCCGTGTGTACACGTTACACTTTTTGCTGCTTGTGTTCCATCTTCTATGAAATGCAATTTGTGAGTATTATAACTGCAAACCCATTCAGAATTGGATCACAAGCAGAAGTAGAACAGGAACCAACCATAATATCGCACTTTTTTCGTTCATTGTCATTTGTGAGAGAAAATAAAGTAATTTCAAGCTCTTTGGAAAAGTTTGCTGAGCTACTAGATCTAATTTCTCACATTTCCCAAACTTGCTATAAGGTTTCTCAACTTGCTACGCAGTTAAAATTCGTCCCTTTTTAATCACATTCGAAGGTTCAAAAGTCGGATGTTTTTTTTAGTTTTTTTTGTAAAGCGTGTGTCTGGAATTACAGTGTGACTCATGGTTCGATAAAGGAAAGTAAATCCAATAATAACTGGAATTATGGAATTGTAACTATCCTAAGACGGCTAGAAGGATTAACTGAATCAGATTAAAATGCTTGCACTTGGGTCAAAAATGGTTGCCCCTGAACCATTTGTTCTAATCTCATTGGTAAATTCCACTGTAACCAAGCCCTGAAGGTTGAGTGATTGTATGCATAATTTTACATTTTTCAGAACCTTAAGCTTCATGACTCATGCATATTTTTTTATACTTATACATATCGAGACAGAAGAAAAGGACCAAGAAATCCAGAGGATTTATTTAACTTGCTAAGAAAATGTAAATTAGTCATGCTTCCAAGTTCTAATAATATTTTATTTATTACACTATGCCATTTTTAAAAACTACGTATTAATATAGTTGGTAATAAACAAATTTTAAGAAACAAAATAGCCGGAACAAATAATGACTCTCAAATAAAATGATTCCCGATTCATGGATATGGCGTTCATTGACTTGTTGATAACATGATATCAGTGATACAACCAACCAAATAAACAGTTGATCTGCGTCAATTGTTTTGCATAATATTATAGATACATACATATGGCTAACACGTTTGGTTGAGTGAGTTCATTGCTCTGGGAAATTGGTGTGCATTTCCGTGATCATATCAATCTAAATTATTCTAAATGAACAAATTTTGATCTCAAAACAAATTACAAGTGTAATTCGCAATATATTGTTATGTTTACGGAAATGGACGTATAATGATGACATGTTTGCTAAACCTCCAAGCAGTGCATGCGGTATTGCTTTGCTTAGCCCGAGCCAGAATTTATGTGTTTTTCGACGTGTTTCGATTTGGGATGAAAATAATCAAAGCTTAAAATAATAATAATACATGCACTTTCAAAGCAGCAGTAAATTTTTACTTTAATACATTTGGTTTCAGTATGGGTTTAAATTATTTTATTAAACATTTAAACCAATTTATCTGGTTTTGAGCTACACAGTACTCTTGTGTATTCGAGATTTGACTTGTGATGTTTGATTTTTGAACAGTTTTTGCCATGACATGTTTCTTCGTAATTTTATTTACTCAAGACACCATGAACGATACAAGAATTCAGACTCGAGACTCGACAAACATGATAAAGATAAGCCTTGAAAAATTGAAAAGTTGTCATGTTCTTATCTGACAGGACTTTGAGTTACTGGGATCAACGGACACATGTGGAACAAATATAATTTTATACATTTCATCACCACATACATACATACATATGTACATATCACCATTCTCTCAGAATTCACAAAAATTGTATGTAATTTGAGCATGAATTATTTAATCCAAATAAGCGGTTTGCATTCGTGTGAGACTGCCAAACTTAGAATCACTTATCTTTCGCTTGATACCAAAATTGAAAGGTAATAAAGTTGGAGTTACGTACAAACAGCACAAGCTTAAGAGCGTTATTAAGTAATACAAAGTCCAACAAACAGATACATTTGGTGTGAGTACAAGATAAACTAGTCAAACTATTTACTCAGGAATCTCGTCTCAAACTCAAAGTCTTTCAGGCGAAGAATAAGAAGAAGTGCACAAAGAGGACGCTACGTCTTAAAAGATGTTGAAGGATGAATGATTTTGATCTTCTTCTTCCTCTTTGCCAGCCTGCACTTTAATCAAAAACATTTTATTATTTTATTACCCTGCTTCTTGTTTGGAGAGGAGACTCCAAAAAACGACGAGTGCGTAAGCAATAATAAACCACACACACAACTAACCAAGTCTCGATCAAAGAAGAAGTTCATGGCAAATTCATAGAGTTCCCTTTATTGAAAAGAAAATTTTGTGTTTTGTAAGAAATCTGTCCAGATTTTGTAATAGTGAAGTACTTATTTAAGTTTCACTGTTAGTGTGCTGAATAAATTACTTGCAAAGCTATACTTCCGCTTGTCACGCAGCTATACCTTTCTCATGATTTTTTGTTCTCATTAATTTTCTCTTACCAATTTTGCGCAAATCGTATATTTAAAATTACGTAATAATAAAATCGTAACATTCTTTGTCATGAGATCAATCGTCTTGTGCTATAGAAAAACAGAGCTCGAGTCCCCTAAATTCAAAAGGAACGAAGCAACGATCCAACATCACGTAATTGAAAGTTTGGTTATATTTACTTTGTTGATTTGGATGGGAAGCAAATCGATTTCTCGGTCCTTCACTAAAGCATACAAACGATTCAACCCAAAGTGATGTTGGTATATGTGTACAAACGTATATGGAAAGACCCCACCGACCAACGTAAATGCTTATAAACTTTATAAACTCCTCGTCTCCACATAACTCTCCTGGCTTTCTCATCCATTCTTGCCAAGTTCCCTCTGGAGATTTTGTAGCATTTGATTTCATTTGAAACCTTTGGCACAACCGAAAAGTTTTCTACCGGTAGGGCAGCATCACAATTCTTGCCATTTCCTGCAATCCCCGTTGACATCGGTATGGCTGGTCAGTGTTCCTTTATGTACATACATCCGTAGGTACATAAAAACTGTCTGTATGTGCAAGAGTGCTGACTATGACCTATGATGCTACGACCTGCGCCTGGCCCACCCACCCACCCACCCAAACCAAAGACAAAGTTTCCCAGTGAATGGCAGTATAAATAAATGTGTATCATCCAAAAGACACTTGACGATAGGGCTTGAATAAATATGAGAAATGCAATAAACCAACGAAACAATGGCAAACAATGAATTACTGACTGACTGAATATTATGTATATAGATCCTGTGCAAGTCTCGATTAAGACAAACATTATTGGCCATTAATTTTTTCTAGCAAGAAGATACATCGTGTTTTAACTTGATGTGTGTGTACTTTTACGTATGTACATGCATCAATAATGGCGTTGATTGGATAAAAACTACGGCAAACAGCACATGAGTAAAATAACATAAGTCACTCACTGACTTGCTTACTTTTGGTTTACCCAGTGCGTTTTATTAAGTAAAGAAAGCGGATGCAAATACAAACAGATTAGTTTCATTTTTAAATAATGATCTTAACCAATGTTTAAACATTTTGATTCAACATTGCGTGTGTGGGAGGATTTGATTTCATAACGGCACGTGATGGCTCATTGACAAGTTTTTCTTCCCGAGAGAAGGGAGCCCCCTAAAAAAGCTCATTGATTTCTTTCTCCAATTTCTTTTTGATATAAATCAGAAGACGAGTTGGTAAAAGTTTGAGGATTGCAGAGCCAAGAAGAAGAGAAAGAGAGTGGTAAATGGTCGGAAGTGAGATAATGGAAGGGAGTTTGAACCCCGTGGTGTTGAGCTCTCTCTCGGCAGCAGAGTATGATAATAATAAGTCTCATCCTTCCGACGACCACGGGGGGAAGGAACAAGTCAAGTTGGGTCTTTCGATAGGCTCTCCTCCGAAATGGCAGGCGGAGTTGATGTCGACGCTGAATGGGCGTTTGCTCAGCGACCAAGATTCCCCTCTCTCTCGCCCCACAAACACGCCACGCTACTACCGCGTACGATATACAGAGCTACGAGGACACCGTTTGTTTCTTTGTAACCCAGCTTTCTGTGCTTCTCTGGTTAAAAGAGAGGAGATCTCTCTCTCTGCTTGTTGGTTGGTTTGGCATTATAGAAGTCTATTACGCAAAACTTTGGAGGTTTTCCCCGCATTTCGCCTTGTTGTATCTCTCGTACATATCTACGTGTATGTCGTCTTTTCCAAATGCAATACTCCTACTTCCATTTACAGCAGCCTTGTTCCTTTCCCATTATTGATGGATATGTTGGTTGGTTGGTTGGTTGGTGGACTCTTGGGTTGGATTTAAGTTTATTGGAACTGAGTTGCAGCTACAGAAAGGCAGAAGAGCAAAGTGGATTCTTTACAAACTCTGACTCAGTTTGCCTTTAATGTTCAATGTTTAGTTAGCTTTAGCTCAAAGCATACACATAACTTGTGTGTACCGATCACGTGCACTGTTTGTTTTGACAATTATTCCAAGTGTGCAAGAAGAATCAGAATTTTATCTCCGATCCTGTCCAAATTTGTTCATCTAATAATCCAATTTAACAAACCACAAAAAAAACACGGCAAATACAATAGAGCAAAATCAACAGACTTGAATAAGTTACCACAGTTCGGATTTATGTTGGGAAAATTGATTTTGTGCAAGAAAAAACGCAGAGAGAAAACTTTGATTGTCGAGTGAGTTAGTTTGAAGCAGTGTTTTCTCAATGATTTTTTAGAAAAAAATAACTTGTTTCCAGTGTTCAAGAATTCACTTGTTGCAGTGAGTGAAAGTATACGCATTATAGCAAAAAAATAGTTTCTGCAGCAGAAACGAGACTGTGCGAACCTTGTCAAAACCTCATCAAACAGTGGAAGAAGAGCACGAAGTAGGTAAGCAAGTAATAACACGCACGCTACTGCTGGTCACATATTTATTTTCCATTCAGATCAAGAGTCTTTTTTGGATTGAGAGTCAAAGTACATCGCAGCTCCGGTGTGTACATATTTTCTGAGTACATAAAGAGTTGAGTAGGGAGGAGTAGGAGTAGTGATTGACGGTGGTGAAAGTGATTCTGTTCCGATTTTTTTGTTACCACCTTCAAACCTTGCACAATCATATACACGGCTAAGAAAACAAACCAACTTTCGGGTGAACAAATAGTAGCACAAATAAACAAACATTAAACAAGAGTTGTGTACATGAGAAACCCACCAAGAGTAGTTACCCAGATACGTGTATGTACATATGTACATATGTCTGTGAGCATAGGGTGCATAAATACCCAGTTCCGGTTCATTTCATCTCTGGAGTCATTATTATTGAGCTCTTATTGAATCATGAATGAATTAAGTCTACAAGTGGTGACCCCTCTCATTCATCCATTCATTTTTTCACAGGTCAAATATTGAACATTGTTAGTTGACAAATAGTTTATGTACATACATATTCAGTGAAAGACGCCAAAGTCAATGTGCATTGAGCAAACTCTAAAAATTCCGTTATTCTTACTGATTTACTTTTAAAAATGAAGGAATTGATTTAGCTAATTTGCTCCCAGTGCGTAGGCTTCCTTTTTGCAATATGTACACATATGCATTAATCCAGTGAAAAGTATGTTAGATTAGACTCAATTATTCACCAATCCTGATAATACAAATATGCACGTGCCTGCAGAAAATGCATTTTACCTCGATTATTATCAAATCCAAACAATTAATGCAATGCACAAAATGCAAGCAGTACCTAAATCGCTTGTTACATGCTTGTGTACCAATATTTGAGAAATAAGTAATGAGAGAGATAGGCATCACCTTTCCCCGACTGTTTTTACAAAGTTCGTCATGCATATCTGCACAAGTATCACCTGCTCATGGGTTATTTATCACTCGTCGTCCTTATCATACTATTATGTCGCCGCATTGGGAATCATCATCATCATCAGCACCGTTGGTTTCACTCATTTTCATTGACAAAAACAAAATGCGTATTAAATTTATGCAGCTGATAACCAATTCGGAACCCGCTTTATCACTCACTCACTCCTTCGTCCTTCCCTATATAATTATGAGGTATGAAAAAGCAATGATTTAATATGGATGGATTTGCTCTTATCTTTTAGTGAATTCTGCTTAAACTGCAAAAAATATCTGGTTCAACTCGTCTCATCCCATACACACAGAGTTTCGTCATTCGTCCGTCCCCATCCCATATTATTCGACAACGACGACGACCACGACGAATACCTGAGTCCTGGACATCGGGCATTCAACTGCTCACTGTAATATCTATCAGCGCTGTGTGGCACGCATCTTCTTTCCCATAATACATAAGAGAAACCACTTGAGATTCATTATTATTATCGCACATTCGAGTGATCAATGAACGGAATCAAGAGTCAGAAAAATACTAATTATTATTTAGCTCACTACCGCCTGCACGTCGAAAGCAAGTGGGAGTAGTGCAGTCCAGCGTTGAACCTTTACTACTATTACTACTACTTTTTGGTACTAAATTACTACTTGTGGGGTGTCGTTGCGCTCGTTGTGACCAGAGACAAAACCAACCCATTTTTAATCAGTCATTTACACTGCAATTTCATTAGTCCGTTCGCCATTCGTACTGGGAAAGACTATTGCAAATATTGAGTTCGTTTGCCTTATTTATTTATTTTGTGTCCTAATGTGAAACTGATCATTGTATCTGTCTGAGTGAGTTGAACCCTCAAGTTACGATTTTTGTCACTGTATACAGATTGGGTTATTTCATGAGTTTGAGCATCAGTAATGGTAATGAACTCTTAATAACAGAACGTGACAATCTTGTCGCACTATTTATTTAATTCTGAACATCTAAATATAATCTCGTCTGCACGATCGTTAGTAACGATTCGTTAAAAAATATAAATCAATTCATAAGCGCTCGCGGATCATTAGTGGCTGAGCGAGTGGACGCCAATAAAGTTCAATAACTTTGTGTCAGAAAGTGTTTGCAATTTGGTTTAAACAAAACGAGTGCGATTTTATTATCAGTGTCGACAGGTAAATTTACACATAACTTTACAGTATCAAGCCAATACAGTTTAGTTGAATAGTTGGCGTTCGTTGGACAAGTAAAAACACTACTAATTATACTGGACAATATTTTGTGAGTTTTGACCAAGTGAAAATATATTTGTCAAATACGAACATAAAATTGAAAAAGAAAAACAAGAAAAGCAATGTGTAATATTGTGAAAATTTAAAAGTGAAAACCAAATACTTGCAAATATCTACTAGTAAAAAAAGTTTACTCAAATCCACAACAATATGTTGCATCAAAAGTTATATTCATCTGACTGCTCTGGAACAAACGGGCTCCAGGGTCAGTCCACCCCCTCCCCGCAACCTCTGATGAATTATTCATCTTATGGAGGAGTGAACGGCGGTGGGTGTGCCCAGTTTGGGTCACCGCCATGCATGTCGCCATCCATGAATACTTACACCACGATGGGATCTCCAGTCTCGGGGGGTCAGTACATGGGCGGCGGTGGTGGGGGTGGACCCCCAGGTGGCGGAGGAGGTGTGTACGGCAACAACCTCTCCGCCATCAACTCTGGGTCTTGTGACAGCCTCGTCAATATCAACGGGGGACCAAGTCCTGGGGGAAGAACAAATTCATCAAGTTTCAGAGAAAGTTCAGTCATTGCAAACGGGGGAGGAGGAGGTGGGAGTGCCTCGTCTGCCGCGGCCGCAGCATCAGTTGCCAGTTTAAAGAGTTACAGACGCAGTTACACCCACGCAAAGGTGAGTCACTCATAAGCAACACAATATGCACGATGCGTTTTACTATACATTAATTGGCTACAGCGTTCGCGAGAACTTTAGCTGTTCTCAAATCGTCAGCCCCATAACCAGTTTTCTAATTCATTTGATTTTTGCTCAAATTTTGGGAGACTTTATAATAAAAATTTGTTCGGTCTCATTACAATGCATAGCATTGTGATCTGCCTTTCTATTTTATAGAGGATTAATCCACAATTTTATGAAGCGCACAGGATGAGAATATGGATGACGGGTTTGCAGTATATCTACATGAACATACATATTTGATAGGATTACGTAGTCTATGCAGAACGTTTGCGATCAATTTGGCTAAAAAAATTCTTATATACACCCACTTAATTAGAAATAATAATTAAATTTCTTTATGTATGTGGACGAACTATACACGAATAAGCCCGTTTAGATGTGTACTTGTGTGCAATCATATTTTTCATGATTTTCAAAAAATTCCTAGGTAAAATTAAGAGTGATGCCTCTGCTCCTCAATCCAGAAATGCCAATATCTTTAGTCTGGGGGCAGAACAAATCGGCACCGTGCACTGTATCAATGTATCCCTTATAGCGTAAAAACCACGAATGGACAGAAAATTTGTGAAAAGCCACCAGGGACATAATGCAGCCTACATTGCAGACAGTTATGCTTTGAAGGGCCACATGTTTTATAATGTACCTCAGCGCCACTCACATGCATATGAATATTACATGTTCTTGTTGGTTTTAACTAATTTAATGTGTTTTTAAGGAAATTATTATTGGTTGTTTTAATGTTGTCTTTTTTATGTTTTTCATGTCCAGCCGCCGTATTCGTACATTTCCCTCATCACAATGTCGATACAGGTATGTATTCCATGACCATTTTTATAAAAATAGTTCATATTTATTCAAGGTCCTCGAACTAAATAAGTAAAGGCATTTAAATTACCGATGTACTCGCCAAAACTCCCTAAAAATCGCATTTCAGTAAATATGCACATGATTTCTGCATCTGTGAGGTCTCAGAAACATGTATCGAAAAATTCCCCATGCTAATCTACTGGGGGAGCTTATCTTATTTTTGGGGCACCACGAGACTATTATTCTCCAATTTATGTCGCTACTAAACTACTCATGGTGTTTTATGACAATCTGTGATTTTTTATTATCTGTAAAATATTTATGCAGAAGATGGTTCCTCTGATTTAATAGCTGGTAGTTTTGACTTGCATAGTATAATGTTCGTCATATTTTTTATCATTAGTTTAAATTTAATTAGCGATAATTTCATAACCAGCTAGTATAATTTTAGTTGAGGTAATAAAAACCAAAGCGAAAGGGTATGTATGTGTAGCCTGGGGAATTTATGGCGACGTGTGTATGTCCATATGTACAAATGTACGTATGCGTTGTGCGGAAGTTGGGCGTTATATTTTCTAATCTCTTCCAGTGAGATAAGACAAGCCCTGTGGAAGTGAGTCATCATACAAAATGGACACCATCATCCAACTAACACTTTGATAACGCTGTCATTCGATCGTATAGTTGTAGCATTTTTATCTATCCCATAAATATGTACGTACCTACGCATAGTCAGATCACCGGTTCGAACATGATAGCATCATTCCATTTGATTTTCCACAATAATATAGACGAATGGTCAAGAAGAGATGAGAGTACACTTGTTGTTGATCTCAAATTACACAGATATAGGTATCAGACATAAATTTACGCTGTCATCATCACAATATTTGATGAAAAGTTGAATAAACTGAACACGCTGGATTATTAACTTGGCGAAATTCACGCACTGTTTGGTGTGTACAGTACCATCGCTGTAGATCCATAATGTGTCAAGTTGAAACGTAGTTAGAAACTTAAAACATGCCCAAAACCACTTTGGGACCCAGGAACCCATTATTGAACGCTTAGACCGTACAAAATATCAATCAGTGCGCGTGGATATCCCGTCGCGCCGTTACCTTTTAGTGAGTGCAGAAGCGCTCTATCTGCCACACTTGACGCATTTTTTGACCTTTAATGCTCGGGAACTTGTTTGTCAATATTTTTTCTAAAACCTGCTTTTTAGGCAATGTTATGCCCAATTTTACCAATTAAAATCGCAATACACCCCAAAACAGCCTTGGTTTCGAATAGTTCCAGCTTTGCACATTATGGATCTACAGCGACGATGTGTAAGATCAATTTTTAGCATAAAGAAAACCAGACCAGGTTAAAACTTTTGTATTATTTTTTGTGTATATTTATTCACGCATTGTTTTATTTGAGTTTGGTTGTGTGACGTTCAACAGTTTGACAAGTGCATTGAGAAAAGCACACCTACAATGTACATACACAAATATTGCAGTGAACATACACTTTAAGTAAATAATAGTTTTATCGAGTATCTTATTATTTTAGAGAAAATTAGAGCATTGCATTCCAGTAAATATGTAAATACCATCTCAACTCATGTACACATGCGAAAACCAGACGTGCTATTATTATATAAAAAAAGATGCGTAAAATTTAAGTGGGGCTCATCTGGGCATTCGTAGTAGTGAGCATTTCGTAGTGGGAAGATGAGATATACAAATGCATGCTGCTATTCGGATAAATAGAAGATGTGCATGACAAACTGCTAACCAAACAAAATTTGTACCGGTTTAACATTTAATCCTTCATTTGTTCCTCTTCTCTTCTGGGTCCCCCCTCTCACAATTCACACAGTAGCTTTATTCCATCCAACAATTCAGCTCAATCAACAACCAGGCAGGAATTCTGCTGGTTTGCAGTTGTCGCGTCCAACGTGATGACATTCAGAGAAAGCTTCAAGAGTCTCTTCCTCTTCTGTCTTTGAAACATTGAGTATGAATCATGACAGCAGCAGCAGCAGCAGTCCAACCAAATGCAGGACACTTTCCATACACATTATGGGAGTTGAGACTTTCGAGTAGAGTTCAGTCGAGCATAGGGCTAAGCCGATCTGCAAATAAAATGCAAAACTCTTGTGCATTCAGATTCAACTACTGCTCACAAACGATGAAAGGGTGGCAAACGGTTGATTTTGATTCGGAATGGACAATTTATTGCATTCAATGAGAATGATGAGACGAGTACAAATAACGACGTGCGAACTATGTACATGTAGCAGAACTTGTTTCATTTCCACATTAACCGTGCTGCTGGTTGCTACAAATCACTTGATCGGGAAACTGAAATACTTATGAGGAACACAATTAAAGTGTCCATCCATCATAGATGAATGAATGATTGACAGGTTATCAATTCCCAGTGCGGGGTATGATGAAACTGTCGCCTCAGTTTGGAATTTGCATGGGGACCTGGGATGCATGTTATGAGAGTTGAGTTTTAATTGTCTCATGGTCACCGTGATCGCGTGTTAATTAATATTTCATTCATTCATGCCACGACCTCTCACTTTCAATTCCGCTCAAACTCCTACATACTTACATTCGTATGCCTTATGAACAATTCATTAAAACTTCATTGATTGATTTTGCAACATATGCACGTTATTTTATTGCAGAGTTCCAACAGCAAAATGCTCACTCTATCAGAGATATACCAATTTATTCAAGACCATTTTCCGTTCTACCGACAAAATCAGGTCAGTTAGACACCTAATCATCCTACCTACAGTGCACCAATTAATTGTTATTCTATTTTTTTGCAGCAACGCTGGCAAAACAGCATTCGCCATTCGCTGTAAGAATTCGTTTAATTCTCTTCATTTTATCATAATTTTACTGGCTGGTGATATATTTAACTCTTTACTATTTTTGTTTGCAGGTCGTTCAATGATTGGTAAGTCTTATATGTTGATTTATATTATTTTTATTTTTGGGTTTATATTATTCTTATGCAGTTTTCCATGATAAGCACAATGTGTAGTTCGACTAGTTGAGCTTCTGGCATCTCTTTCTTGTTGTTAGCAAGATTATGCGTCCTTGTAGTGCATAGTCACGCTATTCTTAACATTTTCTTAAGCAAATTCGCAAAAAAAATTTGGAAAATTAATGTCATGTTCTAATTTTCTTTAGTTTCATCAAAGTTCCACGGACCCCTGACCGCCCTGGAAAAGGAAGTTTTTGGTCGCTCCACCCTGGTCAGCGTTTTTTTCATATTTTTAGCTTCATTTTTTAATATTTGAATGAGTGAAAGCAAGGCGAAACATTTTTCTGAGGAGGAGAAGCCCTCTACATGCCCCGCTCAGATCTAGATGCCCTTTGCTGGGTCCCCTAGGTGAGTGAAGGATAACCCTAAAGTGGTTTTACTCCATGGCCACATTTTCGCCCGCCACACCCCCTCAAACGTGTGAAAAACGCGAAAAAAGCCCAGCTTTCACTTGGTTCAACTTTCACCAAAAATCCAATTTTGCTCGGATTTTTATAATTTTTACATTTTTGTGATCCCAGATACTTGTTTTATCATATGATAAGCTTATCATATGATAACACAAGTATCTGGGATCACAAAAATGTAAAAATTATAAAAATCCGAGCAAAATTGGATTTTTGGTGAAAGTTGAACCAAGTGAAAGCTGGGCTTTTTTCGCGTTTTTCACACGTTTGAGGGGGTGTGGCGGGCGAAAATGTGGCCATGGAGTAAAACCACTTTAGGGTTATCCTTCACTCACCTAGGGGACCCAGCAAAGGGCATCTAGATCTGAGCGGGGCATGTAGAGGGCTTAATTTGATTTAATGATTTAAGTCTTTATTCAAATGTTAACATAAATCGGTTTATAAAAACTTCCCTCCTTAGTTAAGAATAAATAATGACCTCGAAATTGTACTAATCCAACAGATTCTGGCAACATGTTTGAGAACGGTTGCTATCTTCGGAGACAAAAGCGATTTAAGGACGACAAAAAAGAAGCGGTTCGTGCAGCCCATCGAGCAACAGTAAATGATCAACAGCAGTCAATATCTTCGACCTCTGGGGGCTCAAACAGCTCAGGTGGGTCCACACATCACCATCATCACCATCACAGCAACAACAATAACTCTTCCATCATTTCGCATCACAATTCTTCTGGGAATAAAAAGTCTCATTCTGGGTCAGATAACATGACATCCCACCAGAGCGATGGTGACGGGTCCCCAACGAGTTATCACCATAGCGGAAGTAGCCACCATCACAGCAAATTGTCCTCAGAAGCACCACACCATCATCATCAACAGCAGCATCCTGGAGCACATTTGATGAGCCTCTCCCACCACGGAGCAGGGGGAGGTCACCATTTAATGCACACGAGTAAAGAACATGGCAGCAGCAGTACCAACGGGGGCAGTCCACATGAGGACATTGAGAAGATGAGCATGATGGGCAATGGTGGTGGTGGTGCGTCTGATTGTACAGGAGGTGTGCTCAGTCACCAACATCGCTGGGTAAGTGAGGTACGAAATGGAGACTTGATTAATCTTAATTTATTTTAGGTTCAATAATGAAAAGCTCCGATAGCAATGTCTCACGAATATTTCCTTCTGTAATTGGTGTTAGGTGGGTGGGACAAGGAATCCTCCCCCTCTGGGCGACTCTGGGCAGTTGCCAAGCATGCTGCATGGGATGCAAAAGGACCCATCGTCAATCTTACCTTACCCCGCGTCCCTCGTGGCCTCCTCCCACCCCTTCTCCATCAAGTCGCTCATTCCTCAGTCGGTCGAGTCAGTCCGGGGGGACGCCAAGTATGATCTGATGCAGCATTACGGATACTTTGGTGCTTTGTCGGGCAACCCGCAAGAGTCATCCTTCTACAACCCTATCTACCATCACCTTCCGGCTGGAAATGCTTCTTGAAATTGGAGCTATCGGTAAAGCACATGACGACTGGATTTCAGGGTTTTTTTCGGCTATTCAATAATAATATAAATAATTACATGTTGGAGAAGAATGCACGGAAGAGGAGGAAGAAGTGCATGCATTGAGTGAGGGTGAAAGTTTGGTTGAGTTACGAAAAACCATCACTTATACATTGGTGTTGTTGTTCCTATATATCGTCCACTGTGACTCTGCCGCTGTATCTGTATCTTTAAGAATTACAATCATACAATACAAGTTTTTTTTATACATGCATACATACATATTTAGGTTGGTTGGATTAATCTAAGAATTTAGTAGTTGGCGAGTGACGCATTGCAGTCAGTTATTTTAAAGAGCTAGTTGCGTGGGGAATATTTCTTCACCACTCACTCACTATTCTAATAATACGATATTCAAACTTAAGCGTTGGCCCACATCAATAACACACACCAGACACCACACAGCAGCAAGTTGCTAATTAGTAATTAGCTTTCTTTTTCTCTACTACAGCAGATGTTGGTTGCATAGTTGTTGCAAGTAGTGCATACGTACGTACGTACGGAGTGAAGGGACTAATTAGAAATTGTGTCCATTTCAAAACAACTGTTATCCATTCATGTCGTTGACTACGAGTGTTCCTTCACCAACATGCACCAATTTATCATGATTTCAAGTTACCAATCTGCAAGTGAGTAAAGACGAGGCGCATATATATTTCTTATTGCTGTTGTAATAAGTAGGTTAGCTTGGTGTTCCCCATTGTTAGAAAACCCATGCGATGTAACGGTTGGTAATTTAAAATCAGTTAAATAGCTCTACATACTGTAAGCAAGTGCTGTCTGGTAACAATACATAATTCCCCTCGATTTAAATCAGTATAATAAAATCCTACTAGTTATTCATACAGTTACTGCTATTTAAATCAGACTCCAAAATTAAATGTAAATAGTGTTTAACATTCCTTAAAAGTTAGGCAACTTGCCATGTGTATGTAGGTAGATAATCAGTCATTCACATTAATACGAGTGCAATCACGCACGTGAAATCACACTCAACAATTCAATAAGTAAACACTTTATTCTTTTCTATTCTAAATACATACAATAAGTGTGTCCAAAAGTCCATCCATCCTATTAACCCGGTGGTTGCAGTAATCACCACTATTACTTGGAGATTTAATAGGAAAATAACCGTATCTTCGCATTTTGTAAGAATCTTTCTCTAATAATCTTCCATCAAAAGCGCAACTCGCTCGAATAATGTCTCTCTCTAAATATCCGTGTTGCAAGATAAAATCATCCAAGCAAATGAAATAAGAGCACTTTTAGTGTCAAATCAAAATCATGCCCATCTGCCCCGTTGCATCATCATCGTCATCACCACTTTGAATAACATTCACCACCAACAACACTCCACCAACAACCTTTCAGTAACAGACCCCACCAGATTCACGACCAGATATCCGTCATCGTACATATATGTAGCAGTACTACTATCCATCTTACTTCGTCTGGTGCGATGGTTTGCATAAGAGTTGAGCTATATCCAATTCACAAATATATTATATTTAGCAACTCTTTGTAATAATATTTAGCTACTGAAATGCACACGGCAGAAGAAAAGTGGTGAGGAGGCAACCTGATACTCACTCGCACCCACTTTTATTCATCATCATCCCCTCCCCGCACTTAATAGTTAGTGTGATAGATAATATTATGTAATGTAATGATGCATAAGTCAGTGACAAAGGAGAAAGCCAACCCCCGCGGTTACACGAGTAGGCAGAGCAGGAGGGATATCGATAACGCGTATCTAGTAGTCTAACTAGCCGTGACAAATCGGTTGTTGAGTATTAATGTCGGTGGTGGTGGTGGTGCCCTGCCCTTTACAAATTGGATGTCATGACATTGTGGAGGGTTCTCTTTTCTTTCCGCACATAGCAGCATTATTATTATTATTATGATCCATCATCCAGTTTGTGTCGAAAGTTGCTACGCATACGAGCGATTACGCGAGGTGGGTAGAATCTAATAAAGGAGGTAATGGCATACAATTTGTGTCCAATTTACAGCAAATAACAACAGCATCAAGCAGGGTTTAGGGGTTGGTGGATTCACAAATGTGCTCCTTTGGCACACAGTGGAGAAAAGAAAGATCAACTCAGCAGGGTCCCTTTTTGTTCCTTTATTACCAAAAGCCAGTCGCACCTTTCTTTCATTTCAGTTTCCACACGCTCATCATCATCCAACTCGACTCTTGAGGAAGGTTCACATTTCAATGATTTTATTTATGGCGTGTATTCACAATGTGCAAGCCCACTTTTTGACTAGACAAAAACTGATGTAAAGCATCATCTTCCCTTGAATTTGGTCAGGGTAGAAACAATTAATCGTTCTGAAATAGTATTTACGCGCATACAGACATCGCAAACAACCAACCCGACGACCCTTCCGTTATTTAGCAAGACTAAAATTGCTATTATTATTGCGATAAATTATTCCGATATGATAGCAACAGAGAGAAAATGGTGTTTCGCAATTTTTGTTTAATTTTTTTTCATTAAATATGTACATTCTGACGATTACTTTGAGAGCTCAGTAGTTCTCAATGGTTGACCTGTTTTTGACAACAATTATGTACCACCACACCACAAGAGTTGTACTTTGTTAAGTTATTTTAAAGAGCTTTATCTCAGCGAAAATTTTATACCTTTTCGTATAAAACTTTCTTTTATCATTTGTTTGAAACTCTTTTTTATCAGTACAATCATTAGTTGTAATAATTTTTTTTTACTTTTAATATTCACGTGATTTCTTTGATGTTTTTTTTTATTGAAAATCATTTTGCATCTACAGAACATGCTCCTGCTCCTGCTTTTGTAACAAACAATTTTACCCCATACATGCATAAATGTCAAATGATGACTTCAATCATTAGTTTGTAATTATAGAAAGTTATCGTAGATTGTTTATATAATTGTCCTAAAACAGGAAAATGACCTAGAATTTAGTATCAAATAACGGTAAACGTGCAATTTTAAAATTCAGTAATTTAACTTTATACATACATGTACATATTCAATAACTGCTGGAAATGTATCTATAAACCCATAACGTGTAAATATCGGCTTAGTACTGGATAATTAAATATTACCAAAAACGAATTACAGCAGCAAACAACAATTCACGTAATAAATATTATTAAATGAAAATTCTAGATTGTGTCCTTTATTTGAGAATTGCCATTAAATGGGTCACTATATGTAGCATATTGTAACTCCAAAGCATGCATTTAACGCAAGCATTAGAATCGTATGTTTGGTATTTAATTAATAATCAATTTAATCCTAGTTTGGTTAACCTGCTTTTCTATCACAATAAGCAAAATTAAACTAAAAGTGTTCCAATTAAGTTAATTCCACCCAGCAACACCTCGGCTGAGTTGCAAACTCTAATAAGTATACAAGTATAAATTATTAATACAGGATGACCATGCATTTTGATATTTATGAATACATGGGAGCGCTCCGTCACATAATAATACGCAACGCGTGGTCAGTACCTAACAGAGGCTGCTTCCGGTTGGGTCCGCTAGCTCTACAGCTACTTATGCATGTAAAACTAAGGATTATGTTTGATACTGAAATTAAGATGGGAACTGGAATACTTCGCATTTATTCATAATTCAAGAAGAAGCATTTCGGTTTTATTCGTTCATCCGTCAAATGCATAGATAACTTCATTGCGACGTCATACATACACAATATGTAAAAATGTATAGAAAAAATCATCCAAATTATCATAATGATTATTTGACTTGCCCACCCTCTCAATAGATATAGATCTAATTTACTAATTCTAAACACACAAAGGGCGGACATGGTCGTTTCATGTTACTACTGTTGCATACGTGCATAAATATAGGTATTTTTCTATACACGCATAGCAAGCAATATGACGTGATCGGTACATGGATGCACACCTATTCTAATTTTGATGTGTTGATGATGCGATGATTATTTCCACGAGTACCTACATACGTTTTTCAGTACCTAACTACTTACGTAAGTCACTGCGGGGGAGTTCTTTTAGCTAGAAAAATTATTGGAAATTGCAAAATTAACAAGATAGACAAAAATTGAGTGCATCCGATAAAAGCTCAAACTTGTATGTTGTTTTGTCTAATCTGGCCAAATTATTTTTAAACATCAACTGCATTAAATATACAAAATCATAATACATAGTTTTAGAAGTTGATTTTTTGATAATTTTCAGAATCCGATTAGTGTGGTAAACATGATGCGTCAATTGAAATGGTGGATTTGCGTACAATGTTCTCAGAAGAGCATATTATTTTGACGACATGACGTGGGTTGGCTGCTGCCTTGGCTTGACTGATTGGAGTGAGGACAATTTGGTCATAAGAATCGATTGATTTATTTCACCAGTCTCTCTTATGTCCACTTGCTTGTTCCTGCCAGCAGTCGCACAATTTGGTCATGCACTCATCTCGTCTTCTTTCCAGGCTATCCAAAAATTGATTTGCTTGGCTCTCTGAATGACAACAAAATCCACTTCATTTCATTTTGTCCTTCTGTTCCGTCGTTCTGTTGGTTCAGTGGTGTAATGTAATATTTTATGTTTTCCAATTTGGTGCAGTTTCAGCCTGCCAGTTTCAAACTCCTACTTAAATGTCCATGGAGAACAACCCTTTTCTCTCACTCCACGTCGTTGTTTTCATTATTACTACAAGTCCTTGTTAGCAGTAATGCATACATACGAACGGAGAGACGGGATGATGATGACGATGACAACAACACCTGCAACGATGAGGAGCGTGTAGTGAAAACTTGTACTTTTAGTCAATAGTCATAATCATAAAGTGTAGAATAATAATAAACTGGCCAAAGCTGAACAACTCGTCGGGTGAAGTGGAACGCTCATACTTGATCCATATGGACATTATGATTCGTTGAAATGAATTGTGGACTGAAATTACCTATTCATCAGCACGAGGACAAAGTGTTTCATACAAGAGATGACAAAGCCAAACTACAGCCCAACAACAAACAATATATAATATGGCATAAGGATAATTGCTCTTTTTCATCATCTTCAATCCACCGATTCATTCACCAAGCAGAGTATTATTGAATTGGAGCTGTCTCTCTCTCATTATGTCTCATGCCATTAATTTACAAAAAATACACCAAAGTGTTGAATATGTATGAAGTAGAGGGGTGATTTGTCAACGTGCATTACAATTATTGTCATTTGCTTCTTCTCAGGTACGCACAATTTCCAGGGTCATGTAAAGCATTTCGTAGTGCATATACGACAATGTATCGATATTTTTCTAACTTGAGCTGGAAATTTTAAGGTATTTTTAAAGAGTATTTTCAAAATTAGTTTCGCACTTCGACAATTGGAGAAAGCTACTTTCACCCTGGATAAAAATGGTTAAATGATTCGAATTCTAAATGTAGGCAGCGATTTATAAATCTATGAGTAAATTTTGAACTTGTTTGAGCAATAGTTTAGTGCATTGTGTAACGTGATCAGAGAAAAGTGACCACAGTGAAAAGGATAAGTAAACACTTTGTCCAAAGCAGTTCATTCCGTCAGCGAGTCTCACTCAGCACATTTGCTCCTTGGCCCGTCGTCGTCGTCTTCGTGGCCGTAAGTTGGTCGGTGCAGAGGTTGAGGAGTGAGGTTAAGGTGAAATAACATGAGCGTTGAGATTAAGATGCGATGCGGATGATGCTCTGACTCTCTGCTCACGAGGATGATGACGAGGTTTAGTGTTTCGAAGAGTGGACAATGGACCCTACTGACGGGCCAGTAATCCTTAAAGGTCTGCAAAAGACACGAATTCTCATCTATCCATTTCAACTAATGACAGGGCTAAGTCTTCATGTCTCCAGTGGTGATGATTTTCAAAATACTGCTGTGGACATTGGTACAGCAGTGTGTTAAATATACCTTCGTACACTTACCACTTTTTACCACCAACGCTATTCACCAACAAACAGCAAAAGCGCATTGGTGGCTCATTTCGTAAGATAACCAAAAGCTGTTGGTGGTTTTAGCACCGGTGGTCAGACAGAGGTATATTTCAATGATTATGACGAGTGTGTCATGTCATGCTGATGATGACGATGGGAAGTGAGTGAGAAAACTCAGAAACCGTGAATGCCGTGAAGTGAAATAATAAATGAATGGAAATACTGCCAAGTCTGACCATCCATCTCCTCCTGACAAACCACTCACACACTTTGTCAATTTCACACCAAACATAATGCAACCTTCATTTCCCGTCCTCCTTGCAGAATCCTCTTTCTCTAATATCGTCTGAAACACTCGCAGATTTGCAGAATTGCATGGAGACGAAGTTCTAATCCTTGTGCGACAGTACAGCCCAGATTGTTATATAATACGTACATACATACATTGCATGGTTTCTTTTCAAGAATTAACTAAGCAGGGCTCAACTTTGTTACAATAAATCCGTCGAGTTTCATAGAATGCCACGAACTTTAGTTAAAGACCAAGAGAAGTTATCAGCTAATAAAGCTGCATGATTTAGTTTAATATATAAATGAAATAGGCATTTTAAAACAGCGATAATACGATGGATAAGAAGATACAGCCCATAATTTATTTTCTACACAGTATCAAATCAAAATCATCCTTGACCTACGTAGGCAAATATTTCTAGCAAACATGTCAACAGAACATGAAAGATGGTCATTTCACTGATAAATATGTACATAGGCAGAGATTACAAAGATGTATCTCAACTGCATTTGATTTGTCGCACTCTTCAGGATCACTGGTAAACTGTGTACGGATGAATTAAAACAAATAACAACATAACACTTTGGACGGAAAGGCACATGTAAAGTTGGTGTAAACAATGGAATCTGCAACTGAATGGGAGGCATCAGTTTGTTCATCTGTGTCTATGCTTGTTGTGACAAAAGCGTGTTTGAGAATCGAGATGAACAACAGATAAGGGCGGACATACAAGTTTTATTTTGTAGTATGTTCACAGCATGGGGCTTGTTTCAAGTCCGTTTGTGAGTACAATATTAGGGTAACAGATATGTCGACGAGTATTACGACACTGATGACCCAAATAGCAATCTCGTTTTATCCGCCCTTTATATTTGTCATAAATATTTATCATGAAAAAGTACTAGAGATGATAACAATTATGTGATGCATGTGATGATATTTTGACCTCAGAAGACGCATCCTATCGCCCTTAGATTAGATTGTGGACTATATATTGACCAGCTTTTAACTTGTAAATAAAATATCCTTATCGAGTCAGATACCAAATTCGGTACGTGAGTCATTACTCATTTTCTCCTTGTTTGCACAAAACAATAAAAATTTGAGCTATTCGGTAGTCATTAAAGATCTTCCGGTGCAGGATTGATGATCTCCTAAACCTTAGCCAAACGGTTCGGGTAGTTCTGATGTCGCCATCCTAAAACAACACATGATATTGACAAACCTGCGAGTACGGCATGTGGACCATACCGTCAAACTACAAAGGATTATAAAATGTATCCCAGAAAAGTGGTGGTTAGTAAGCAAAACTAATTGTTCTAATGCTTTCATTTACAGAGATTGGACTGAACAAAGGGTTGGCGAATTCAATTATTCAATTCAAGCCCCAACCACCTTATTACTAAAAATATTTGTGAGCTGTCATCATACTCATCGGTGTACATATAATGCGTATAATAAATATGTACACATGTACAGTAGTGGCGTCGTGGTTTTGAAGAGCAAGCCAAGCCAGCCACACACTTTTCCTCTTGGAAATGTCCATTTTAGTCTAGGCACCTCTTCACATTTTTCACCATGCTGATGATGGCAGCAAACTACAACCATCAGACCAGACAGACCAACAGAGAAATAACTACATACCAATAAGAACACTTGTTTAAAATAGTATCAGTCTCTTATTGCAATTTATAACATAGTAATGCAAATAGTGTGTAATGTACATCGTACATGTCAATTGCTTTGTATGCCATTTTTTAAATTTGCTAGCAAAATTTGGGAGCGTGGTTCGGTTCATGTAATTTGTCAATAAGAATAATATCTTACATGTGTTAGATCACCAAATTTTTATAGTTTCCCAGATCCATACATGCAATTGTATCAGTTTAGTTTGTGAAGAGCATGAAATGATTTA